TGTTGTGGGGGGTGTGTGTCTTGTGTGTTTGTTGTGGGGGGGGTTCTTGTGTGTTTGTTGTGGGGGGGGTGTTCTTGTGTGTTTGTTGTGGTTTGTGGGGGGGTGTTCTTGTGTGTTTGTTGGGGGGGGGGGGGTTCTTGTGTGTTTGTGTGGGGGGGGGGGTTCTTGTGTTTGTTGTGGGGGGTGTTCTTGTGTGTTTGTTGTGGGGGGGTGTTCTGTGTGTGTTGTTGGGGGGGGGTGTTCTTGTGTGTTTGTTGTGGGGGGGGGTGTTCTTGTGTGTTTGTTGTGGGGGGGGTGTTCTTGTGTGTTTGTTGTGGGGGTGTTGGGGCTGGGGGAGACATTCGGCCGTGGCTCTGGTCTCTCACGTGTCCGCCTCGTGTCCGTCTCGTGTCCTTCAGGTCATGGGAGGTCTGGACGGAGACATGTTCATTTATTATAAGATGTTGATGCTTCAGGGACTCATCGCCGCTCGGAAACACATGGAGAAGGTCCTGCAGATCGTCGAGATCATGCAGCAAGGTACGGGAGGGCATCTGACGCAATCTGACACACGGGGAGGGACCTGACACACACAGGAGGGACCTGACACACGGGGAGGATCTACACTAAGAGGCATTAAAAACGCAACAGTCAAATTTTTTGATATTATTTCTCAATTTAATAATGAATTTGGTGTTACAAATTTGAGTGATATTGAACATGAAAGAACAAAACCAACAGTAGAAAAGGTCATCGAAAAACTAAAGAAAAATTCAGCCACAGATAACAAATGTCAGTATCTTGTGTGTCCGTCGTTTGCATCCAGTAACGCTCGCACTCGTCGTGGCGTAGAAGTTGATTTCGGCCACTGGAATCGTGTTGAACTCTTCCAAGAGAGCAGTACGAAGATCCGCGTCAGCTGCTGGAAGTGGGATACGACGGCGCACGCGGTGATCCGGCTCGTCCCAGAGGTGTTCTGTCAGATTCATATCAGGAGAAGAAGGCGGCTGGTCCATAACCTGCACGTTGTTTTGGGCCAGACGCTCCTGACAGACGCGTGCGATATGTGGACGTTAAAGTCGGCACCAATGACCTGCTCTCTCTCGTTTGCTGCTGAGCGCAGCATGATGACCGTGTGTGACGTCTTTCATTTTTCCTCCGGGTTTTTAAAGCCTTCACCAGCTGAGTTCAAATCATCGAAAGAACTCATCGAAAGTTTTCAAACAATGTCCTAGTTACATATTGAAAAGTAGAGATCGGCACCGTCCGGCACGTTCTTTTGTTCTTTTGTTCTTTGGGCTGAAAGGTGCGGCTCCATCGTTTCATAACCCACGACTGATCGTAAACAAAACAGTTTTCGTGTACAGTTTTTTTATTCAAAATAATTTGGCATTTAACTTTGTTGTGTTTTTAATGCCTCTTAGTGTAGTTTCGATAAACTCCCTGAAGTCGCCCCCATCAAAGTCACAACGACACAAAAACTACGTCACTCGTTTGTGCTGCAAAAAGTTTTGTTTGTGTGATTCTGGTTCTTAACATATGAACTCATGTTGTGGTGCATGAAACTGGCCTCGAGTCCAGTTTTTTTTTTTTTTTTGGTCTTGGTCTCGTCTCAGACTTGACCCGTTTGGACTCGGTCTTGTCTGAATAGAAACAACGACCTGAGTCTGTGGAAAAGTCTGTGTGATTTAAAAAAAAATGTGAATCTAAAGCAAATGACTCCAGACTTTTCCACAGACGCAGCTCGTTTCTCTTCACAAGTTTTTTAGAGTTTTGTTAAAGTTGAAACAAAACAAACACAAACATTTTCTGCTGTTTTGAGGCTGTTTCATATTTTGACTCATCGACCAAAATAAAACTGAGAAAATCTGAAGAACCAAAATCACACAAACACAACTTTACAACACAAACGATACACAAACGACTGACGCCATCTTGTGTTGGTTCATTTCATTTTGAAGTTTCTTGTTCAGTGTTTGTGTAGTTGTGCGTCTGTGTGTAGTTTGTGTGTTGTTGTGCGTCTGTGTGTAGTTGTGCGTCTGTGTGTAGTTGTGCGTCTGTGTGTAGTTGTGCGTCTGTGTGTAGTTGTGCGTTTGTGTGTAGTTGTGCGTTTGTGTGTAGTTGTGCGTCTGTGTGTAGTTGTGCATCTGTGTGTAGTTGTGTGGTTGTGTGTGTTGTGTGTTGTGTGTGTGCGTCTGTGTGTAGTTGTGCGTCTGTGTGTAGTTGTGCGTCTGTGTGTAGTTGTGCGTTTGTGTGTAGTTGTGTGTTTGTGTAGTTGCGTCTGTGTGTAGTTGTGCGTCTGTGTGTAGTTGTGTGTTTGTGTGTAGTTGTGCGTTTGTGTGTAGTTGTGCGTTTGTGTGTAGTTGTGCTGTGTGTAGTGTGTCTGTGTGTAGTTGTGCGTCTGTGTGTAGTTGTGCGTCTGTGTGTAGTTGTGTGTTTGTGTGTAGTTGTGCGTTTGTGTGTAGTTGTGCGTCTGTGTGTAGTTGTGTGGTTGTGTGTAGTTGTGCGTCTGTGTGTAGTTGTGTGGTTGTGTGTAGTTGTGCGTCTGTGTGTAGTTGTGTGTTTGTGTGTAGTTGTGCGTCTGTGTGTAGTTGTGCGTCTGTGTGTAGTTGTGCGTCTGTGTGTAGTTGTGTGTTTGTGTGTAGTTGTGCGTCTGTGTGTAGTTGTGCGTCTGTGTGTAGTTGTGCGTCTGTGTGTAGTTGTGTGTTTGTGTGTAGTTGTGCGTCTGTGTGTAGTTGTGCGTCTGTGTGTGCGTCTGTGTGTAGTTGTGCGTCTGTGTGTAGTTGTGCGTCTGTGTGTAGTTGTGCATCTGTGTGTAGTTGTGCGTCTGTGTGTAGTTGTGTGTTTGTGTGTAGTTGTGCGTCTGTGTGTAGTTGTGCGTCTGTGTGTAGTTGTGCGTCTGTGTGTAGTTGTGCGTTTGTGTGTAGTTGTGTGTTTGTGTAGTTGTGCGTCTGTGTGTAGTTGTGCGTCTGTGTGTAGTTGTGCGTTTGTGTGTAGTTGTGCGTCTGTGTGTAGTTGTGCGTTTGTGTAGTTGTGCGTTTGTGTAGTTGTGTGTGGTAGTTGTGCGTCTGTGTGTAGTTGTGCGTCTGTGTGTAGTTGTGTGTTGTGTAGTTGTGCGTTTGTGTGTAGTTGTGCGTGTGTGTGTGTGTGTGTAGTTGTGCGTTTGTGTGTAGTTGTGCTCTGTGTGTAGTTGTGCGTCTGTGTGTAGTTGTGCGTTTGTGTGTAGTTGTGCGTTTGTGTGTAGTTGTGCGTTTGTGTGTAGTTGTGCGTCTGTGTGTAGTTGTGCGTCTGTGTAGTTGTGCGTCTGTGTGTAGTTGTGCGTTTGTGTGTAGTTGTGCGTCTGTGTGTAGTTGTGCGTCTGTGTGTAGTTGTGCGTCTGTGTGTAGTTGTGTGTTTGTGTGTAGTTGTGCGTCTGTGTGTAGTTGTGCGTTTGTGTGTAGTTGTGCGTCTGTGTGTAGTTGTGTGGTTGTGTGTAGTTGTGCGTCTGTGTGTAGTTGTGTGTTTGTGTGTAGTTGTGTGTTTGTGTGTAGTTGTGCGTCTGTGTGTAGTTGTGCGTGTGTGTGTTGTGTAGTGTAGTTGTGCGTGTGTGTGTAGTTGGTGTTTGTGTGAGTTGTGTGTTGTGTGTTGTGCGTGTGTGTGCGTCTGTGTGTAGTTGTGTGTTGTGTGTAGTTGTGCGTCTGTGTGTAGTTGTGCGTGTGTGTAGTTGTGCGTGTGTTAGTTGTGTGTGTGTGTAGTTGTGCGTCTGTGTGTAGTTGTGCGTCTGTGTGTAGTTGTGCGTTTGTGTGTAGTGTGTGTGTGTGTGTTGTGTGTGTGTGTAGTTGTGCTCTGTGTGTAGTTGTGCGTCTGTGTGTAGTTGTGTGTTGTGTGTAGTTGTGCGTCTGTGTGTGTTGTGCTCTGTGTGTAGTTGTGCGTTTGTGTGTAGTTGTGTGTTTGTGTGTAGTTGTGCGTCTGTGTGTAGTTGTGCGTCTGTGTGTAGTTGTGCGTTTGTGTGTAGTTGTGCGTCTGTGGTTGTGTGCGTCTGTGTGTAGTGTGCGTCTGTGTGTAGTCTGTGTGTAGTTGTAGTTGTGGTGTCTGTGTGTAGTTGTGCTGTAGTTGTGCGTCTGTGTGTAGTTGTGCGTCTGTGTAGTTGTGTGAGTTGTGTGTGTTGTGTGTAGTTGTGCGTCTGTGTGTAGTTGTGTGTCTGTGTGTAGTTGTGCGTCTGTGTGTAGTTGTGCGTTTGTGTGTAGTTGTGTGTTGCGTCTGTGTGTAGTTGTGCGTCTGTGTGTAGTTGTGCGTCTGTGTGTAGTTGTGCGTCTGTGTGTAGTTGTGCGTCTGTGTGTAGTGCGTGTGTGTAGTTGTGTGTGTAGTGTAGTTGTGTTTTGTGTGTAGTTGTGCGTCTGTGTGTAGTTGTGTGTTTGTGTGTAGTTGTGCGTGTGTGTGTGTTTGTGTGTAGTTGTGTGTGTTGTGGTTGTGCGTCTGTGTGTTTGTGTGTAGTGTGTGTTGTGTGTTGGTGTGTAGTTGTGTTAGTTGTGTGTTGTGCGTGTGTGTGTTGTGTGTTGTGTTGTAGTGTGTCTGTGTGTTAGTTGTGTGTTGTGTTGTTTGTGTGTAGTTGTGCGTCTGTGTTGTGTGTCTGTGTGTAGTTGTGCGTCTGTGTTAGTTGTGTGTTTGTGTGTAGTTGTGTGTTGTGTGTAGTTGTGCGTCTGCTCCTGTCTTAACTCCGCCCTCTCTGGCTCCTGTCTGACAGGGTCGCACCTGCCCTGCTTCCACGGCTCCAGCACCATCCGTGGGCTGAAGGAGCGTTTCCACATGAGCCTGACGGAGGAGCAGCTGCAGGGGCTGGTGGAGCAGCTGGTGGACGGGTCCATGAGGTCCATCACCACCAAACTCTACGACAGCTTCCAGTACGTCACCAACGGGATCATGTGAGAACTCAACCGGGACTACAGCAGGACTACAGGGGTCTGTACTGGGTCTGAACCAGGTCTACAGCAGGACTCAACCAGGACTAAACTCTATCGAAATGTTAACGGACTTGATCCCAAACCTGGACTAAAAGACGACTAAACGAAGGCTGAACCAAGACTGAATCCAGACTGAATCTGGGCTGAACCAGGACTGAACCAGGACTAGAGAAGAACAGACCCTGTTTGAGACTGAATGAACTGAATCTGGATTTGCAGAAGAAGGATGTTTATGGAACAGACTTGATCAGACCTTTGAACCAGGTCTGAACTGGGTCTAAACCAGGTCTGAACTGGGTCTAAACCAGGATTAACCCAGATTAAACCAGAGATCTGGACTGAATACTGTCTGCAGGTTTTACACAAAAACATTTTCAAAGTTTCTCGTTTTAAACTGTTACATAAACTGGACTCGACTGGATCCAACAGCAGCGGAACGGCGGGAAAACCTGAGAAAAGAGCGGGAAAAGAGGAGGAGACAAGATGGCGTCGGGGCTCTGAGCTGCTGAACATTTTATTTTAAAAACCACTAAAATTGTAAAAATTGCACAAACAAACTCAGCACAAAAACTCACGTCCAACAGAATGAAAAAAACCAACTGTTTACACGTTTAAAGGGCCGTTCTACGTTCTATGTTCATCTGGATCTGTGTTCTTGTGTCGTTTCGTCGTCGCACACAGACCTGGAGTTTTGTTCATGACGTCACGAGGTGGAACAGAACGTTTAGAGCTTAAACACGACTCCAGCTCTGAGTGTGACCAGGAACAACAGAACAACAGAACTACAGAACATTAGAACTTAAAGCTCTCAGACTCACAACTTTAAGAACTAAAATTAAATCTAAAAGCTCAACGTTTGTTGCACGAAACCAAATGAATCTAAACACAGATGTTTCTTTTGAAAAACGCGGCGAAATCTTTTACATTATTAAAGATTTTTTTTTTTTTTTTTTTGATGAAGCTTCAGTGAATTTGCCAAAAGTCTGGAGACGTGTTTCGTTTTTGCCAAAAATCAGTGAAGGATTCAATTTTGTGATAAAACGACAGAAATAATGAAATGACAAAAGCACTTTTATGAATATTCTAAATTACAAAGTGAAAATCTCAAGTCAAAATTTCACTAAAACCAAAACCAGTTACAAATTTATTATAAAAACACTCAACAAACAGTTCTGACCTCCTGAACACGCTAACGTCACGCTAACATCAAGCTAACGTCACGCTAACGTGGAGCTAACATCAAGCTAACATCAAGCTAACGTGGAGCTAACGTGGAGCTAACATCAAGCTAACATCAAAGCTAACGTGGAGCTAACATCAAGCTAACGCTAACGTGGAGCTAACATCAAGCTAACATCAAGCTAACGTGGAGCTAACATCAAGCTAACGTGGAGCTAACGTGGCTCCTCTGAATCAAAAGTGTAAATATGTTTGTGGATTTACGATGAAATTTAAAACTCAACATTTTATATAAAAATGTTTTATTTTCATTTCCAAAGAGTCCCAACGGTTTTAAAATCTGTTTTTCACGTTTTATTTGAAGAATTTGCAAAAAGGTTAAAACTTTGGCACCAGCGAAAAAAAACACTAAAGATTCAATTTAAATTTAAAGACGGGGTTTTCTGAAAAATCTATGTTCACTCGAGCTCTAACGTCACAAACCTGCCTGAAGACTTTAGAGTCATGTGTCAGTGTTTGAGTAATCTAGAGATCTCTCCTTACGGTTCACAGTACGAGTCTGTACGAGGCTCCGCCCACACGTCCTCCCACACCACAACTCTCCATAAAAACACAAAAACACGACACAAAAGTGAACAGAGCGACGCGACAAACCTGATGTTCGTGCAGGAGTTTCATGTGAGTGTGTTGGGGTGGTGCTCTGAAGGGGGAGGGACTCAGCACAGAGAGCAGAGGGAGGAGAGACTCAGAACCTGGAGACCTGAGAATGTTTCAGTTCAAACCTCGTCTTTAAATGTCACGACTGAAACTTTCATTTTCAACACACATTTCAGATTTTCCTGTAAATTCTGTTGTTTGTTTTTTTGTTTTTTGTTTTTTTTTATTTATTTGATTTGTTTCCAGGTCGTGTTTCTCGACGGTTCTCACATGTTTGATGTTTTAAACTCACGACTCTCCTCCAGACGCCGGCGTTTTAACTCCTCCTCCTCCACGGATCATCTGACCTTTTATTTTGTATGTTTGCGTTTTATTTTGAAAGGTCTTGGATTTCAAGCGTTACACTTTTATTTAAATGTCGTGTTTTATTTCCTGCACATTCCTGTTGTTTTGAACCAGAGACGGTTTAAACGGACAGAGCTGAACTGCAAACAGGAAGTGTTCACGGCCGCGGTTTGGGCTCCATGGACTCTGGTCCGGTTCAGTTTACGTGAAAAATCGTGGAAATCCGTGTGTCGTTCATTTGTTTTTCAATATAAAATCAAAAATAAGAAAATGAAAAATCAAATGTTTTCTTCATTATTTGTCTCCAAAACCAAAATGAAAAAACAGAAAATGATTAGTTTTTTCAGTTTTTGATTTTGTGTTTAAATGAAAAATGAAAAAAATGGATCATGACCGTTTCCTGTTTACGTGACTTCAGTGACTGAGATGTCGGAATTTTGTGGTACATACGGACTGAACCAGGACTGATCCAGGTCCTGGGACCACACCGGGACCACACCGGGACCACACCTGGACCACACCTGGACCACACCTGGACCACACCTGGACCACACCTGGACCAGACCACACCTGGACCACACCTGGACCACACCTGGACCACACCTGGACCACACCTGGACCACACCTGGACCACACCTGGACCAGACCAGAGGCTCAGAGCCCAGGGCAGGACCGGAGCTCGAAGCTGAGGCTTGGACCCTGCAGAGACTCAGAGTCAAAGCTTGGAGTCTGGTCTGGTCCCGGTCTGGTCCGGGTTTGGTCCGGGTCTGGTCCCGGGTCTGGTCCCGGTCTGGTCCCGGTCTGGTCCTGGATCAGTCTGGCATCTCAGTCACTGAAGTCACATAAACGGGAAACAGTCGTGATACTGTTTTTTTCCATTTTTTATTTAAACACAAAATCAAAAACTGAGAAAACATTTGTTTTTCATTATCTGTTTTTTCATTTTGGTTTTGGAGACAAATAATGAAGAAAACATTAGTTTTTTTGTTTTCTTATTTTACAAATGAATGATACACAGATTCGTGGCTCCTCCCCCTGCGCCTGAACATCGCTCTGGAGTTTGGATGTTGAAGTCTTGTTCCGGTGTCGCCGCCGCCGCCGCCGCGGCGTCGCTGCTCTGAGTCTTTATCCACTCTGAGCTTTTGTTCTGTGCTTTTGTTCTGTGACGTTCTCCAGATGTGAAAGATCCAAACTTTTACCGTCCAACTAAACCTGTGCAGATGTGACGCGCCAAAAAAAACACTTTACTCCAGTTTGTCCACGAGGTTCAGAGTCAACGCTGATAGAACTCTGGACATAGACTCTCCCTCAGACTTCTGACCCTCAGACTTCTGACCCTCAGACTTCTGACCCTCAGACTTCTGACCCTCAGACTTGACCCTCAGACTTCTGACCCTCAGACTTCTGACCTGCTCGTTCTGTGTTTTTGGATCAGCTTCACAAACTCGTCACATTTACGTCTTAAAAACAAATCCCTCAGGTTTTTGGGGGAGAATCGTGGCTCAACTTTCTGAACCGACTGAAAAAACCTGACCCCGTGTCCTCGGGACAGTCCCGGTCCTGACCCCGTGTCCTCGGGACAGTCCCGGTCCTGACCCCGTGTCCTCGGGACAGTCCCGGTCCTGACCCCGTGTCCTCGGGACAGTCCCGGTCCTGACCCCGTGTCCTCGGGACAGTCCCGGTCCTGACCCCGTGTCCTCGTCCCTGCAGACTGACACAAAACCAGTCGTTTTATACCAGAAATGTCCCAGTGTCTCGATTTTTGACCAATTTTATCTCCTGCAACAGTGAAGAGACAAAAACTGACATTTGTTTTGGTAAAATACAAAAAATCTACTTCAAAACTCAAAGAAAATGAAACTTAACTGACTCATGTTCATTGTGAATTTCTCTCCTGAATAATTTTCCTTAATTTCAGTCTCGTGTCACAATTTTCTTTTCACCAACCACAAAAAAAACAAAACAGACATGTCCCAGTTTTTTATTTTGAAATTTTAAACATGTGGCACTTTATTGTGACGATGTTGTGATGTGAAATGATCCAGACTAGAAACACGGAGACGAACACGTGGTCGAGGGTCCAGCAGGAAAGTTCCACAGTGTGTCTTTAAATCATAAACAGACACGTCTCTGAGTTTGAGGAGAAACAAACTGGACTGAAGTGTTTTTATTTTTTGGTGCTGCTGAAGTTTGAATGAAGGTCGAGTCTGTGTCTGAAAACCACTAACAAACTTTAAACACTTAGACGAGTGTCGGACTGTAAATCCTTTAGTGTCGTTTGTTTTTGTTTTTTGTGTGTCGGTTTATGTTTTTGTTGTTTTTGTTGTTTTTTGTGTGTAAATCGTGTGAATGTGTCGAGGCCTTGAGCAGAAGGTACAGACTTTATCAATGCAACGAAACGACTCCAAAAAGTGCTTTTACACAAGAGTCTCATTCACCACAGCTCAGACTCACAGAGACCTGGACCGGGACCTGGACCGGGACCTGGACCTGGACCAGGACCTGGACCTGGACCGTGGACCTGGACCTGGACCAGTGGTTTGTTGTTTGTTTTTGTGAGTTTGAGCTGCTGCTGAATCTGAGCCAAACTTTTGCCTTGTTTTTACTTCATTAAAATGACTCTAATGTGACTCTGAGTCTGAGATTATTTGACACAAACACAAACTCATCTCCGTCTCTTTACTTTGCACAAACACGTCTTGATAAAAATATATTATTATTTTATAAAATCATTTTATAAGTTAAATATTCATGACGTCGTCGGTGGTGAAAAGTGAAAAACACTTCATAGACGATTTAGGAAAAATAATCTTCCTGTTGGTGCAGGTCACAGACGTGGACGAGTTTAGGGTCAGGGGTTAGTGTGGGGGTCAGGGTTAGTGTTTGAGGTCAGTGTGGGGTCAGGGTCAGTGGGGTCAGTGTGGGGGTCAGGGTCAGCGTTGGGGTCAGTGTGGGGGTCAGGGGTCAGTGTGGGGGTCAGTGTGGGGGTCAGGGTCAGTGTGGGGTCAGGGGTCAGTTGGGGTCAGTGTGGGGGTCAGGGTCAGTGTGGGGGTCAGTGTGGGGTCAGGGTCAGCGTTGGGGTCAGTGTGGGGGTCAGGGTCAGTGTGGGGGTCAGTGTGGGGGTCAGGGTCAGTGTGGGGGTCAGTGGTCAGCGTCAGTGGGGTCAGTGTGGGGTCAGGGGTCAGGTAGGGGTCAGTCAGTTGGGGTCAGTGTGGGGGTCAGTGTGGGGGTCAGGGTCAGTGGGGGTCAGTGTGGGGGTCAGGGGTCAGCGTCAGGGGTCAGTGTGGGGGTCAGGGTCAGTGTTGGGGTCAGTGTGGGGGTCAGGGTCAGTGTGGGGGTCAGGGTCAGCGTTGGGGTCAGTGTGGGGTTCAGGGGTCAGCGTCAGGGGTCAGCGTTGGGGTCAGTGTTGGGGTCAGTGTGGGGGTCAGGGTCAGTGGGGGTCAGTGTGGGGTCAGGGGTCAGTGTGGGGGTCAGTGGGTCAGGTGTTGGGGTCAGTGTGGGGGTCAGGGGTCAGCGTTGGGGTCAGTGTGGGGTCAGGGTCAGCGTTGGGGTCAGTGTGGGGTCAGTCAGTGTGGGGGTCAGTCAGTTGGGGGGTCAGTGTGGGGTCAGGGTCGTCAGTGGGGTCAGTGTGGGCAGGAGGTGAGGCGCGGCGTTGGTGAGGAGCACATGTTATTATATTTTGATATTTGAGTTTGACTTGAGGTTCTCGTGATCCTCCAGGTCGTCTCTGTCGCTCAAACAAACCAGGACCAGAAAAAGACCAAAACTCAAACAGTGGAAACTCTTTATGTGAACGGGGACGGCGCCATCTACAGGCGACTCAACGGTAGAACTCAGAGTTTGTGTTTAGAACCGCACAAAGAACCGGGACACGTGGAACAGAAAGAACTTTGGACTTAATAAAGAACTGATTTTACTGAACAACGATGTAAAAACATGTCGAGCGCTTTTGTAATGCCCCTGGGAAAGTTTCAAAAGAAAACGCCTCAACAGAACCAACAGAACCTCAACAGAACCAACAGAACCTCAACAGAACCTCAACAGAACCAACAGAACCTCAACAGAACCTCAACAGAACCAACAGAACCTCACTCTCTTGTATGAGAACAGTTCACACTCTGACTCGATC